ATTCACGGGACCCATAAATAACGAATGACAATAAGGAGGCGTTCGAAGGCAGTAAAGCTTGGGTCGTGTTGTCAAACTCCATCATCGCGCACAGAAGGCAAATCTTAGAAGTGTGATCCGCTATTGTGGAATTTTTTTGCTGCTCAACCGCTGCGGTTTTAGGGAAACTTTAAAACCCACACAGAAACTCTGCCACCGACAACAATCACATTTTTTATAACGAATTATTTCCGCTTTTAGCGTATAAGGTATGAGGTAATGTGAGGTAACTGAAATAGAGTTCGGGATGAATTAGTTCAGATTGTTGAATGATTGTTGGTAGATCGTGTGTGACGTTTGAGGAATTTTGTTTTTAGGCAATTGTTTTTTTGCGGGGCCGTGGGTTGCTGTAGTTTGAGAAAGCCTCTGCCGTGCGACTTGAGGAGTCGTTTCTGGTGAGAAATTCACCGCATATAAAATTAATTTAAAATTTTGATTTGGGCTCACCGAATTATTTCTCCGGCGACTTGTATTGTAATTATTTAAACACATTTAGAACTACTCGAATCTCACTGATTTACTTTTTCAGTCGTATTTTTAATCAGTTATTGCAAGGAAGTTTCTAGATTCTTTGCGAGAATCTATTGAAATAAAAAATCGATATTTATTGTACTGATGAAATACGACAACGCCATCTAAAATACATTATTCTCTACAGCAAATTTAACCATTATAAATATATTTTACGTCATATAAAACGATATTTGTTTTTGACGTCAACTTTACCCAGTATACACATTCTACATCAAAGTGAACATGAATGCGTATTCTACGCCACAGGAAACCAACGCAAATATTAATTTTCCGGAATTTCTAGACGAGCAAATGTAAAAAGCACGTGGTAGATGTTTCACGGTAGCGGTTCCGGTGACCTTGTGGGTGTAATCAATTGATTTATTTCCAAACATCGTCCTAAACTGGCGGGGCTAAAACCGATAAACCGCAAGTGTGAGCGGCGTCTTGCCGGCCACCTCACATGGAACTGGTTTTCTCATAAAAATTGTGTGATTTAATATGAAATTATAAAACAAGATGATAGCTTAACTTTACAAGTTACGTATTTTTAGAATCAATGTTAAAAAAAGAATGTTTAGAAGCTATAAGTTAAGTAAATAAAATACCTCGAAAATAATAGTGCAATTATTAGAAGATAAAATTGCAAATCTTGAGAAGCTATCGAAATTATTATGAAAGATCAGGGTTAGATTGTAAAACGAAACTAGGAAGAGAATAAGTAAACTCAATATTATGAAATCGAAAAAAAAATAAATATTATTACGAGCTGAAAGATTCTTTCCCGCGGATATCCGTGAATATACTTTATGATGCACCATCATGCAAAAGCATGATACCTCGTCAAGCAACTTGAGAGATAATTACGCTAAGTTCATGACAATAATGTCGCAAGCTCTCTTATTGTATTGGCAGACACTCTGGTCTACTATCTTGTACGTGATTTTCACCATCTAACGACTATTACCAATTTAGACATATGATACTTCAGCGTTGGATCTATAAAACCTTCTTTGTAGTTTATGCTTCTGAACCTTATAGTGAGTTGTACCAGTGCACCGACATGACTACAACAATCTCATCCTAGTGAACTGATTCTATTGACTGTGCCATTTATATATATCTCATCCTAGTTAACTGATTGACAGTTTGGTTGACAGTTTTCTCCCTGAACCGAATGCTAGACTACGTTCCTCAAGCAGGTGCGGTCACATTTAATTCTTACCGAGGCATACTAGTGCATGAGGCTATATTATATCATATTCTCACCTGTACACAGAGGTACCTTAATTCCCTACCAAGTATAGTAACCTAATTTCCCATTCAACGTAGCCTCATATAACTCCGTATTGATAGTTAAGAAAAATATTCTAGAATACCGCATGAGAACATCTTCTCCTTCAAGCAAATAGAGACGCCACTACAGACCTCGTATACCTGCTTGTCTCTCACCAAAGGAGCTACAATTTGTTCTGGATTCGACCACAGCTAACAAAACATGATAGGTAGAACCAGGAGGTCGGATGCACGCTTCTCTATAGTAATGCAGTTGCTGGGGTTTCGGTTGAAAGGTTAATTATGTTAGTGATTCTGTTAGCGCACGGCTTGGGAAAACGGTTAATTATCTGTTTAATTCTGTGCATTACTGCATGTTTTGAGAGAACGGCTGCAATGTTAATTTTGTTCTTGCTTCAGTGAACGCTCGTCTTGGGAAAACGGTTACGAGAGTTATATTCATACTATCTTGTGACATGGATCAAAGAAATGGAGCACATGCATGGAGCATGGATCGAGATGGCCTTGCGAGAAAATTTGTCAAGTAAACGATTAATTTGTAGTTTGGTGGCTCATTAACGGCGGAACGGAAAAACGGACGAATATATGCTTATTTTGAATTTTTATTCATTGAAGGTCGCTGAGCTTTGAATGATAAGAGTGCCACTCATTGGCACTGCTGTGCCATCAGTGCCACAAAATCATGCCCAAAACACCGATGCCACCGGTGCCACTGAAGATCGGTGCCTCCGAAAATGAATGCTGCAGTGCCACAGTTAGCAGTGATACAGACAGCAGTGCCACAGACAGCAGTGCCACAGATAGCAGTGCCACAGACAGCAGTGCCACAGACAGCAGTGCCACAGACAGCAGTGCCAGGCTTCAGGGCTGTGCTGGCATCGCTGGCCGCCAGAGGGCAGCAGCAGCTGGCTCCTCAACTCCCCGTGAGAGCGCAAGAATTTAACCTGCACAACTCCAGGTCTCTGCTCCATGTCTCTGCTCCACGTCTCTGCTCCATGTCTCTGTTCCATGTCTCTGCTTCATGTCCCTGCTCCGTGTATCTGCTCCATGTCTCTGCTCCATGTCTCTGCTCCAGGTCTCTGCTCCATGTCTCTGCTCCATGTCTCTGCTCCATGTCTCTGCTCCACGTCTCTGCTCCAGGTCTCTGCTCCAGGTCTCTGCTTCACGTCTCTGCTCCAGGCCTCTGCTCCATGTCTCTGCTTCATGTCTCTGCTCCAGGTCTCTGCTCTAGGTCTCTGCTCCATGTCTCTGCTCCAGGTCTCTGCTTCAGGTCTCTGCTCCAGGTCTCTGCTCCATGTCTCTGCTCCAGGTTTCTGCTCCAGGTCTCTGCTTCAGGTCTCTGCTCCAGGTCTCTGCTCCAGGTCTCTGCTCCAGGTCTCTGCTCCAGGTCTCTGCTCCAGGTCTCTGCTCCAGGTCTCTGCTCCCCGTCTCTGCTCCACGTCTCTGCTCCATGTCTGTGCTCCAAGTCCCTGCTCCACGTCTTTGTTCCATGTCTCTGCTCCATGTCTCTGCTCCATGTCTCTGTTCCATGTCTCTGCTCCATGTCTATGCTCCATGTTTCAACTTCATGTCTATGCTACAAATCTCTGCTCCATGGTTCTGCTCGGCGTCGTATACGACTCATTACTCCGTCTTCACTCCTACATGCAATAGATGTTTAATTTCAGAGACTGTAATTTTTGTATCGTTGTGTAAATGAATCCATAATTCAGGAATAATTTCTACCATGAGAAGTTCCTTTTAAGTAATGCAACTGAATTATGAAGCTGTGATTAAAAAACTTAAAATCCGAGATATTTTAAATAGTATACCTAACGCAATTTAGTTTTCATATATTAAGTTACACATAACACTAATATATTTTCATTTCGATATTTTTAAGTGAGTTTGTCTGTATCACCATATGTTATCAAGTTTAGAAATACAATGATCATGGTTTTTTATTCGAATGCGTCCTCGAACATTTATAAGAGATTGATTTTCGAAAGTGAAGACATGACAGTGAAATTATCCGCAATTTCCTGTTGTTTTTATTGATAGAAATTAGTGCAGAAATGCTCTGGTGGGTGCAGACTTACGGTGGTGGTGCAGACTTACGGGGGTGGGTGCAGACTTACTCATGTTATTTATTGTGTTAAAACGTGTGTAGGATTTGAGGAGTGCAGGTTGAAAATAAATCTCTACTATTTTCATGTTATTTATTGTGTTAAAACATGTGCAGGATATGGGGAGTGCAGGTAGAAAATAAATCCGTACTCTTTCCATGTTATTTATGTCGTTAAAACGTGAAGGCAGAGGCTTTAGCGTACATATAAAAAAACCGTACTATTTTCATGTTATTTACGTTGTTAAACCATGTGTAGGATATGAGGAGTGCAGTGGCTGCGACTGTACGGGTGGTGTTTACGGTCGGCCCGCCTCCACGTTTGCACGCATGTTGCCTGAAGAGCACTTTTGGTTGCGCTTTCAGTGCGTGTGTGTTGGTCTTAGAGCAGCACCGAGCATTTCAGTGCACAGGCAGAGGCCGTGGTGGGAGGATGTGTACGCTGCTGCTCTATACACCGGGCCCGCTCAGCTAGCTCGTTCCCTTCACTAAATACTTTGCGAGATATCAAGAACATGTTTCGACATTACATTATCAAGGCTGATCACTTGAATATTATGTTCACTCTCAAGTTATTTTAAAAAGTTTGTTTGTCAAAGAAAGTAATAAGAGTTTAATGGATTTCTTGGGCCAGGAAAACATCTTTCAATAATAGCACTAGGGTTTTGTTTACGAAGCCTGTTGTTGTTTACGTGTTGGGAACTTGCCGTGCGCGCTATTTTTGCTTCACTTCAGAACTTCGCAAGCTGGACTCATTTTGTTTGTTTGCCTTGCTTGTTTACTCTTGAGTTGCTGTGTTTGTGAAGTTTATTTCGTTATCAAGTGTTACTTTATTTTTTTTTAAAGAATACGTTTTATTTTCATAATGAGCCTGATTTGTTGTAGTGACTTCTTTTATGCGTTGTGTTGTGTAGCTCAATTTTCTTGCTTATTTGATATTAATATTTTAAACACATTTCAAAGAAAATTTATTTTGAAAAATTGTTTTTGCCACTGAACGTTCATTTAAAAAATGCTTATAAACATACTATAATGCAATAATTGTTACATAAAATACATTTCTACAGTTGTTATAGGCCACGCACCATTTAAAGTCCTCAGTTGTAATTGGGACCACACGTCCAACTGACGCGTCACTCTACGATAATCATGATTAATTTGAGCTGATCATAGCTGCAGTTGAAATAATTATATCCAAATTATTATTTAGAAAATAATAAAAAAAAAAGAATCGCCTCGTCGGGAGTCCGATGTTAGCTCTCCAAGCTCCGATGGACATACTGCAGGTAAGCTTCGTAAAATGCTTGTATAATTAATTTCCATTTAATATTTAAGTTAATTATAGGAATTGCATGCCCAATCCTCATATATGTTATATAAATATCGATGTTTATGGTGTATGAATGTTATGATGAACATCTAAACAACCTCTCTAGATTGCGTAAACTACCTCGCGTTTATTCTTGAATTACTTGAATGACGTCACCGCGTCGGAATAATACATTTTTGTTTGAACAATTAATTATGATGTTGTAGATCACATGCATTATATTTCTTATTGACAAAATTTTCAGTCTACCGAAGTACTGGAATATTCATAAAATTTCATTTTGATTGCAATAAATTCATTATAATGACTCATGAAAATCTTTGATGCGGGTTTGTAAAAGTATAAATTTTTAAGTAAGCGAGCTAAATTACGTCCAATATGTACGTCATTACACGTATATGATAATGCCTTCCTATTGTTATTGTCAGTAAAATTGGCCAATTGCATCGCTGAAACGCGACAATCGATACATGGATTTTTTAATTGAAAATAAGTCCGTTTGTCATGCAAGATTTACATCTATAATTCCGTCTAGCCAGCGTCTCATAACTTGCAAAAAAAAACCTAATTTTTTCCGGGTTTTTTCGCCTCACAGAGCGCGTTTTCATCATAAATTACGTACGTGTATGTATTTTTCGTGCAATATGTGATTGAATTACCTGCATTACATGCATTTCTCGTGTATGCTGTGTATGCATAATGCGCGCATTGCACGAAGGTGCGCATCAGCTGACTGTGGACAGGCGCCTGTAGCGATTGCGCTTGATGAGTCGCATCTTATTAGCCGCTACTTATGGCTTAATGATATCTACTTAATGAGTCCGGGCTAAATAGGCTCTATTTAAGGAACCATTATCCGTAAGTCTCTTATATATAGTGTTTATCAATTATTTATTTAAGAGTACCGAATTCATCTCTTCTTAAAACTACACATCCATTAATTAAGCAACTACGTTATAGTATCTTCTTGACTGTCTCTAAATAATTAATAACCTAATCTTTGCACATTTGTCTAATCTCATTTAACTAATCTCATTAACATTTGTCGGCTTAATAAACTTTCTACATGATCAATATCTCATAATTTGCAGTTCAATTCTATGCACGCGCGAGCTGTGTGAGCGTCTGTAAATTGTTCATTACGCAACATAACTAATGCTGTTCAACTTAACAAGCTTGTCGATAACAACAATTAGAACAACATCATCGTTGTTCTTTGAGATTAAGTAAAGAGAAAACAACAGCTGTGATTACAGTAGGGCAAAATAAAAAATAACATGGCACTAGATGACAACTCCAAGATGGTACTAGATGGCAACAACAACATGGCACTAGATGGCAACAACAACATGGCACTAGATGGCAACAACAACATGGCACTAGATAACAACAACATGGCACTAGATGGCAACAACAACATGGCACTAGATGACAACAACAACATGGCACTAGATGACAACAACAACATGGCACTAGATGACAACAACAACAAGGCAGGCGACGACAACAGCAGCGCTCGCAGCATTGGTGCGTGAGGCGGAGGTGATAACAACAAGCCGCTGTGCGCTGTAAACAAGTTCTTGTTTTCTCAATAGTATTGCCGATAGTGGCGAGTACACAACCCGCCTGCTCCCTTCGCCTGCTTCCCTCGCCTGCTTCCCTCGCCTGCTTCCCTCGCCTCCTTCCTTAATTCGCCTGCTCCCGTTTTTGGTACTCTCGCCTGCTCCCTCGCCTGCTCCCCTCGCCTGATCTACTCGCCTGTTCCCCTCGCCTGCTCACTTCGTCTGCTTCCCTCGTCTCTTTCCTTAATTCGCCTGCTCCCGTTTTTGGTACTCTCGCCTGCTCCCTCGCCTGTCCTGTTTTACAGGATATTCAAGCCTTCTCCTCGATCCATTTAATCCCATATCATTCCTATCGTCTAACATCTCTCTTACCTTTTCTTTCTTTCGCTTGTTCTGTCACCCTCACCTCTGTCTCATTTCTCTCGTCTCTCTTTCGCCTGTCATGTTTACTCACATTTCCATCGTCATTTTTCTATTTCGCCTGGCTGCATAATATCATAGTTTTGAGCACATTCATTTTCACTTTATCTCTCCTCTTCATATTTGTCAACCCTTTCCTTTTGCTTTTCCCTTCCCCTCGTTGATGGTTTAATTATACATATTTCTGCACAATCATTCTAGCACTCTTCCGCTTTACAATATTTTTCTTCTACCTGTTCTCAATTGTCGCCAGCCTACTTTTGTACTCGACCTCAGTTGTCTTCCAATCCCTACTTTTACTTTTGTTTACTTTTAAATTATTCACTTATGATTCACTTCCCTCAAATGAAATGGATATGTTTTCCGATCATTCACTTACTTTATGTTACAACATTTCCTTCAGCACCTCCTTATATATTTCAATAATTTTCCCTCTTTCCACCTCTATTTTGTATTTTTTACATCCCACACCCTCCCTCCCTCGCTCCTACATCCCTCACCCTCCCTCCCTCGCTCCTACATCCCTCACCCTCCATCCCTCGCTCCTACATCCCTCAGCCTCCATCCCTCGCTCCTACATCCCTCAGCCTCCCTCCCTCGCTCCTACATCCCTCA